TTTTAAAAAAGAAAATAGAAGTTACCTTTAGAACCATGTGTTTTTAGGTCTGTTTTCTATCGCTCATACAAAGAACAGGAGTCTAAAAAAGGATTTGATCAAGAAGAAGTTTTTGAGAAACCTACACGTGAAACATGCCAGGGTAAGTGACACTGATATTTAAATTAGGAAATTCAGAGTTAACTTACTGGGGGTTTCCGCAGTAATTTCGCTAGGTTGCATCCCCTTGACCCCTCTCCCAACACCTCCCTCCCCCCCTTTTTTTTTTTTCAATGAAGGAGTATGATTTTGTGTCATTCTTAGAGCTCACATTTAAGAAAATATGTGTATTTGCCAAAAGTCTTTGGACCTGGGAGTGGGCTTTCTGTAGACCTCCCCTCCATGTAGGTCCTACATTGAGGAAGAAATTTAGGAAGCAAGAGAGGTCATGTAATTCCATGGGACACACATCACAGCCCCATTCTCACTTGTGTTTATTTTTCCTTTAGTTTATTTGTTTGCATGGGAACGCCCCCTTCCCCCCAGATTGTAGTGTGATCATAGTATTTATTCAGCCACAATATTTGTAAACATTTAAAAAACAAATAATGGGAGGATACCTGGCATTTGTTGTTTCTTCTAGAAAACTCAAACTTGCTTTCTAGTTACTATTTACTTTCACGGACATTTAAAAACTACTTACAGTGGGAGGGATGGGATGTCCCAGGGAAATGGGGTGTCTCTGCTATAATTTTGGCTCCTAATAGCATTGCATGAAGTAAAACGTGTTTTGTTTCCTTAGACATCTGCCCGTTACCCCATTTCTATTGGGTGGTTCTAGGTAGTAGTGAATTGATGTCCAGTGGAGTTAAGATTGCATAAGGTGAAATTCACAATTTCTGTGGGAGGATGTGTGCAGAGGGCATAGATATTCTTTCTCCTGTAATTAGAGATCAGAAGATCACAACACTTATCCAAAGCCACTCAGCAAATGTCTGTCAAGGGAGCATCTGCTTTTCCAGTGCTCAATGTTCTTTTCCTTCATAGACTTTTTCTCGTATAGATTGTGGTATTACAGAGTTCAGAATAGTTTGTAATATTTGGAATAAGAGCATTGGATGTTAGTAAACATGATTCATGTTGTTAGAGATTTCTGTAACTTCTCTCTAATTTGGAACTGATTCATATATATGGTTTTTAATCTTTGTTGGGGATTATGTGACATTTAGAATACTTTTCTATATGGTAGTATAATGTCAGAAAATTCTGTCTGTTTCCTCACAGGTATGAGGCATGCCATTTATGACAAGCTGGATGATGATGGTTTGATAGCTCCGGGGGTTCGTGTATCAGGGGATGATGTTATTATAGGCAAGACAGTCACCTTGCCTGAAAATGAAGATGAACTGGAGAGCACCAACAGACGCTATACCAAGAGAGACTGTAGCACTTTTCTCAGAACCAGCGAGACCGGCATTGTGGATCAGGTTATGGTAACGCTCAACCAGGAAGGATATAAATTTTGTAAAATAAGGGTGAGTATACCTTTGTCTGTGTTGCTAGTTTTAGGAAGTAAACCAGATCCACTTAACTAATCTATTTGTGTATGAATTCAGGTACGCTCTGTTAGAATTCCACAGATTGGAGACAAATTTGCTAGTCGACATGGTCAAAAGGGTACTTGCGGTATTCAGTACAGACAAGAGGTAGGTGTCTGTTTATCTCTGTCACCCCTAGCCCAAGGTTTTGTTGAACATTTTATTAAATCAAAATTGGCTTTAACTTAAGAGCCCAAAGATGGTAAAGGCTTGACTTTTTAATTGTAGTGTTGAGTAAGTATATGAACACGCCATGTTGAACATAATTTGGAGCTAAACAAATTCAGTTGGCAGGGGGAGTGTCAGTTCTAGTATTATAGCTAAGAGTAAAAGATTTAAATATTTTTAAGTCTCTTCAATATTTTCTTTATAGGATATGCCTTTCACCTGTGAAGGTATCACCCCTGATATCATCATAAATCCCCATGCCATCCCCTCTCGTATGACTATTGGCCACTTGATTGAATGTCTTCAAGGGAAGGTAAGAGATTTTCTTCAAAGATATAGGTTCCAAATTGATGTTTCTTCCAAAAACAACAATAGGTGATTTCTCTCATATTCGAGCCAGAGTACTTTGTAAAAAGCTAGTATGATACTTATTTTTCTCTTTCAAATTGGTTATGATTCTGCTTTTGTTTTTCTAAAGACATTTACAAAATTATAGTCAAGTCAGAATTTTTGTAATATATACTATTAATACATCCAGTCTCTACATCCAAATGTTATCCTTTTGACTGCTTTTCTGTAGAGGAAGAGTTAATTCAGTGGTGGTTAGTTCAGTGTGAACTTAGTAACTTTATAGCTATATTATCAGCTATGCATGCATCTTTCAGTGGATGTTTTCTATTTTTAAACATCTTGTTAAGGTAGAATGGCTGTAACTTGATTTTAGGGCATTAAAATGTTATTTTCCTTGAGCCAGAAATATTTGGAGTCTTACTGTTTTTGTACCTGATCCCGTGGATGGATTTCTATTTCTTACGACTGAGTTTTTCTGTTTTATGTAAATTAATTTGTTATAAATATTTTGTATAAGGTAATAAAATGAACCTTAATATGTCATAGCTTTCCATAACATAGATTTAAAGTTCAAAATCTTCTCCATTATAGAAAGGATTTTTTCCCAAGTGTATTTTTATTGATATATGACTTTTAAGGGGAGACAAAATGAAGCAACATTTTAAAGAGTATTTTTTTTTAAAGGTATCGGCTAACAAAGGTGAAATTGGTGACGCCACTCCATTTAATGATGCTGTTAATGTGCAGAAGATTTCTAATCTTTTATCTGATTATGGCTACCATCTCAGAGGAAATGAGGTAGATTTGCTCTTACAATAGTAATTTGTTACGTGTTGTATTTTTGTATGAGTGCAGTTTTATTCCGAAAAAGATAAAACCTTTTATTGAAGTGGAACACGTATGTACAGCTTGATGCATTTTTACAAAGTGAACACACCTGTGTGGCTAGCATCACGATCTGGGAAAGAAAATTACCAGAACCTTTTTAGGCCTAG